CATCACATCTTCTCATCACCTCCATGCTTCAGGACTTGCCTTCAGGCAGGCCCAGAAAAGCAGCCCTGATCCCATTTGCAAATCTGCAATTAAGGAGACAGGCTTCCTCCCTCCAAACTTTGTGACAATGAAGGAATGAATGCTTTTCCTGGAAAGCATGGCTCATGAGTCCTGCTCATAGACAATGGCTGGTTCTGAGAGGACGACCAATGAGCAGAATATTCCATTACTGCTGGTGTCAGAGTCAAGGAGCGTTTCCAGCTTCTACAGCTGTGGCACTTCCTGTGCTCAGAGCCAGCTGACTGGCTGCTAGAACAACAAGCCTTAACTTCGGCTATATTAAGACTGTGTGACTTCCTTTGCCGTTCTGGGACCCATCTTGGTTACCTCATGGCATGCTTCAGCTTGGGATAAGGCTTAAGACTCCCTCCATCAGGATGGAATTAGAAACAAACGCTGACCCTCAAATCCCACAGTAAGAGTTTAAGATCTTCTGGGACGTTGCTGAGAGAGCCCCCAGGGCCATGTGGACAAGGAGGCAGGTTACATGTCACCTTTGTGATTGGAAAGAAGTGCCCGGCATGCCTGCTGCCCAGACTTGGGGAGGATTACATTTCATCAGGTGGCCAGCCTGCCAAGGCACAAATGTGGAAAGGGGACCCAGCCAAAGATGTCAGGCATCAATCACTGTCCTGCTTAAGCCTAGGGCAAGAGTGATCAATGAGCACACTGCTTGTGAAGAACCCACAGGCCTTGGTTTCTGAGTCATTCCTAAGGGCAGCTCTGAGGGGGAAATCGTTGCTCTTGGCCCTCCCAGAGCAGGCAGCAAAGAGGACATCCTGCAGGTGTGTCTCTCTTTAAGAAATCAGGACCTGTCTGTGTGAGAAAGATGAACCAAACCAGTTGCTGTGATAACCAGCTATGATAATCTACATAGTCCTTGGTTCTATACAAACTCCTTTTCACCTCTAAGATCTTTGTTAGCCTCACAACAAATCCATGCAGGTATATATTTACTGGCTCTATTTTACAGATGAGAAGACTGAGGCACAAAGCAATGACATGAGTTACCCAGGGTCTCATGGCCAAGGTGAAAACCCAAATCTTTGACTTCCCCTTTGTGTTTTCAGCCTCTTTCTCCTCCCTTATTTGATCTGGGGAAAGGAGGTGAACAAAACAGCTTCACACCCATAGGGAGCTTATGTCTCATAGGGAGACATTGATGAAATGATCACAAAAATAATTGCATAGTTATGATCTAAGATAAATGTTATGGGTCTTTATCCTGAGGCCAGCAGGTAGCCATCGGGTGGAAACAGCTCCTGTAATAAAATAGAAATGCTCCTGCCAAAACCAGTTTGGCTCAGTGGATAGAGCGTCGGCCTGCAGACTGAAAGGTCCCAGGTTCGATTCTGGTCAACGGCATGTACCTGGGTTGCGGGCACATCCCCATAGGAGATGTGCAGGAGGCAGCTGATCGATGTCTCTCTCTCATCGATGTTTCTAACTCTCTATCTCTCTCCCTTCCTCTCTGTAAAAAATCAATAAAATATATATTTTTTAAAAAATAGAAATGCTCCTGATGAGCAGGCAAGTGGCCTGACTGCTAGGCCCAGCTTTGCTGCCTTGCTGCCAGATGACTTGCAGTAATTCCTGCTCCTTTCTAAGCCTCTATTTCCTCATCTGCCCAGTGAGGGGAGAGGGTTGGATTGTTGTTGTTTTTTCCCCCAGCTGTTATGTGTCATGTTTCCAGGACAGAACGAAAAGTAATGTCTGCAAACTTGCCACCATCACTATCTCAAATGTCACTTGCCCTGAGTTATTTTGGAGCTTGGTGGTCAAGATGTCTGAGGTTGCATCCTGCCTTGGGCTCTTGCTCAAAAGTGCAGGGTGGCCCCTGATTTAGAAATAAATGGGAAGGAAGTGGGTCATGCCATGCTCTCATAACAGGCTCCACCTTTCTCTCTCAGGGACAGAAGGGAGATGGTGGAGTTATGGGTCCACCAGGCAAGCCTGGGCCTTCTGGTCAACCTGGCCGTCAGGGTCCCCCAGGCCCTCCAGGTCCCCCATCCACAGGTAAGAGCTACACTGCTTCACTTGACCTATAGTGTCACACTCCTGGCCAGCCTCCCGGAGAGAGCACAAGGAGATACCAGCAGAGGCCTGCCTGGTGTTTTGAGCTAGAAACTGCTAGAGAAACGTCAATCTATATAATAAAAGGCTAATATGCAAATCGACCGAATGGTGGAACAACCGGTTGCTATGATGCACACTGACCACCAGGGAGAAGACACTCAACCACAGGGGGAGCACTGCTCAGCCAGAAGCCGGGTTCACGGCTGGCAAGTGCAGGGGCAGTGGTGGGAGCCTCTCCCACCTCTGTGGCAGTCAGGCATCCCCGAGGGCTCCTGGACTGCAAGAGGGCACAGTCTGGGCTGAAGAACACCCCCCCATCCCACAAGTGCATGGATTTTGTGTGCCAGGCCTCTAGTATATTTATAATTTCTCCACAGTTGGGCTCATTCAACTTTTACACAAGGAAGATATACATTGTTCTGGCTTTGTTTTTAGCATTTTGGAGAACAAATAGAGGAGAGAAAAAATTACATTGATGATGTCATTTATGCATTAAGTGAAAAATAATGCACATACTTCATCAATAACACCTTTTACGAGAAAACCATTTCATGATTCTAAGCAATTCTCTTAAATCTGGAAGTAAAGATAACACTGTAAAATTTTCCATCTTACACAGTGTTAGGAAAGAGTCCTTATGGATTTGCATGGAATATAGAAAGAAACGATAAAAAGAAATCAAAGTCATTTGCAAGGTCATAGGTACCCTGCTACCTTGTTTTACTTTGTTTAATATAAGTTAAGCCCTTGATTTAGTTCGTTCTCATCAGCTCAAAAGCACATTGTATAAGCACAGCGTCTCTATTTCCAAGAAGACTATTTACTCATTGAGCAACATTCTTTGTCCTCAGTTATACAAAAAGAATCAAAACAATTTTTGTTCCAATTTTTTCCTTAAGAAAAATGAAGACAAAATTCCACAGTGCACTCCCTTTCTCTCCCCCCTCTGCTTATGGAAATATATTTGCAACCGCATCATGGGATGATCAAGAAATGTCACATTTTGTTAGATCCTTTAAACCAAATTAAAGCTAGTTCTGAAAACCCAATCTGCCAGAATGCCAGGAAAATTCAATCTTAGACTCCACTTCTCCAACTGCCACAAAAGAATTGGGTAGAGATCCTGGGATATTATGGCAGAAAAACAGCAGGGCGGGGGGGGATCCCTCCAGCCTTTTATCTGCCCTGTTTACCTGTGAAATGCCTGTTGTCTGAGGCCACGTGGTCCGTGGATGCCTGTGACTGCCATCTCATGCCATGCTTAGGCATTAGAACATCTCCAAGGCTGGGAATCCTGGTCCCTATGGTTCACTTCCCACAGAGTGCTCACAGCCATTCCTTCGAGACCTTATCTCCCCCAGGATACTGGGGAGGGGATACCTGTTCTCTCCAGGCCTATGGGGATCCCTCCTCTTCCAATCTCTAGCCCCCGCGCTCCTCACACTTCATATACTACCCCCCTCTTAGGAGCTTTTCTCTTCTGAGAACAGAAAGCAGAAGTTTTCATATAGTACCAACAAGTTATCTTGTCACATCTACTTCTATTTGTTAAGGGAGCTGGATTTGAGATGCAGCCTAGGCCCTGTGTCCATGCCCCATGATCTGTTTCCCTGCGTTGACTAGATGATCCAGATGGAGGTCCTTCCAACTCATCTTTCTTCTGCCTAACATTCCCCTCGAGCCCCATGACTATGAGCTGCCAGGGACTGAGAGCATGGCCTGAAGCCTGGGTTTTGCCTTTGGAAGAGACTCTCTTGGACCTTGGGGCATTTAGGGGCCACACGGGAACATGAAGGGGCGGGGGGCGTGGGGGTTGTGCGGATGCATAAGGAGGTCCTTAGCATAGTCAGACCTTAATATATGCATCCATTTGTAAAGGCCAGCCCTCATTTAAATTGAATTCCTTCCCTCCTTGGGCCTGGATTGGGTGAGAAGGGTAGGGCCTGGAGACCAGCAGCAGCTCACTCAGATGCCCACTCTTTTGTCTTGTCAGTCTCTGGTGGATTATAACCTCATCCCTTTAGTAGACCATTGTAGCCTTGTTTTCTCTCCTTGGTTTCCTAGCTCCTTCTCACTCAGCCGGGGATGCTCATGTCCCCTTCCCCTCCACCTCTCCATCCTCTTCCAGATCCTTCCAACAGATGCCCTGCTCTCTGCAGAGCTGGAGCATATTTCTGCAGTCTGTCTGGGTCTCTGTGGCCTAAAATGACTTTCCTGTCATCTTCTGGGTCACCCAACATAATCCTCTCATTCCTTCAAAGTCCTCTCTTCAGTAAGGCCTTCCTTGGTCCTTAATGGATGGGTCTCCTTTCCCTGCTGCCCCAGTCACACATTGCCTCTCTGCTATTGCCCCTGGTTCCCCAGTTACACATTGCCTCCCTGCTATTGCCCCTGGTTCCCCAGTCACACATTGCCTCCCTGCTATTGTCCCTGGTTCCCCAATCACACATTGCCTCTCTGCTATTGCCCCTGGCTCCCCCGTCACACATTGCCTCTCTGCCCTTGCCCTCCACTGGTAACTGTTTTTTGCAAATGTGTTTCACCTTTCTTCTAGGTGACAAGTCCTTGAGGCAGGATCTGTGGCTGAGTTGGCTTCACATCCCATGGCACCTGGCAAGTGGTATGGGTGGGGCTGGTCCCCACAGGTGCTCACTGGGCTACATTGGCTCTCAGTCTGTCCCACCTGGGTATTGCAGAGCAGGGTGCTGGCCATCTCTTTGGACTGTTGTCCCCTCCTATGTCTTCTTTTAAGTCACTTCCTTTCTGGGAGCTTCTCAGAGTGAGAGGAGAAATAATTCTTAGAGAGAAGAAATTATTTTGGGAGTGGGAGAGAAGGGAAGGAAAGAGTTTATTGGAGGCTTTCCCTGTGCCTGGGACCAGTTGGATAGTAATCAAGAGTTGAACCAGGCCCCCAGAGTGATTCCTCAGACCACCTTTGAGAATCTGATAAAAGTCCCAAACCCACTCTCAGGGGGGAAAAATGTGTCTTCCCCAAGATGCTTCATACTACTTCCCAGAGTCCCAGAACCCTTGCCTCAAATCCATCTGGGGATATCATCAGGCAGAATTCTCCTGGGCTAGTCCAACCCTCTCTTTACAGATAACTATGAGCCTGAGAGAAAAGTGTCTTCCCCAAGTTCACAGAGCTGACCGCTGACCACATCTGATCCGGAATGGCCATGCCTCCTGGGTCTGAGGCTTTCCCACTCAGCCCTGCAGCCTCTGTAGGTCAGAGTGGGAGCTGGGGGAGATGTGGGGACTATTCTGTGGTTCCTCTGCCTTCCCCCAGGTTCCGCTCAGACCTGTTCCCACCGCAGCAGCCAGTGGAGATGAGCCATTCCCTGGGCAAAGGTGGAGAGCAGGTCCTCTGGCTGCAGGGATGCAGGGATGGAGGCCAGGCCAGGCCCCCGGACCAGCTCTGAGAGGCTCAAGTGGGGAAATTTGGGTTGCTGTGCCCTTCAGTGCAGCCTGGCAGGACACAGGCAGCGAAACAGATGCCTTCTGACAGCTGGGAGGAGACAGCAGGAAAACTGCAGTGGTGGCAGGAAGCAGGCTCGCTGCCACATCCTGTCATCTTAGGGGAAGGCTCCCTCTGGTTCTGGTGCCCAGTGCTGTGGGATGAGATGGTGCTGCAGGAAGTGGAGACGGTGGGAGCTTTTTATTACCCAAGTTACAGAGCAAAAGAGGCACTGTGGGGTAGGGGAGGGAATGAAGGCAAAATGCCTTTAGGATGTAATTTGCAATAACCAAATTACAAATTTGGCTGAGTCCTTCCTGCACCAGACAGGGTTTAAGTGAATCAGTGTGGTACCTGGGAATTGCCATCTATCTCTCTGCAAGCATCAGTGTTCCTAGATGTTTGTCTTTTGAACGGCATAGTGTTGTCAAACATGAATTCAAATCTCTGCTTCAGCACGACTTAGCTGGATAATGGGACAAACTCCGGAATCTTTTGAGGCCATGGTTCTGAGGAGTTGTTGGGGCCATTCACATCCCTGGTTACATAGCATTCCCCCCTTAGTTTGCCCAGGTGCTTAACTACCAGAATATTCATGGGCTGGTGGAGTCTCTGTTCTCTGGGCTCCACTCCACAAGATTGGGGCTCCTCCCACAGGATCATGTTCCTATTTCTTATTAGAACGAACAGCCATTACTTGGTATAAGATGTTGACAAGCCTCCCTTGTCCTCATACCGGCAGCATCTGGGCTGGACAGGCTGAGCCTGCTGGTGAAGGCTCAGGGTGTGGGGGTCTTCCCATCGAGGCCTCCTCCTCCAGCTGTGGCTGCTTCCCTGGGGTCCTGACCAGACCTTTCCCTGGGACCATTTTATTTCTTGTCCTTCTGGGATCTGCAAGCTGTCTCCCCCATTGCTGGCTGCCCTGACGTTTTATAATCTGAAACCAACGACTGGTTGGCATTCAGACTCCTCCCCTATTTTCCCAGGAGGAAGGGTCTTCATTTCATTTTTCAGTCTCTATCTTTTCCTCTCTTCCTGTTGATTGGATGGCTCTTGCTCCAGCACTTTTCTGCCAACTGGAATTGTGACATCTAGATTTTTCTGAAGACCTTTTCTTTCTAGTTAGTCTGCATTCATTCATGTATTCATTCACTCAGTCATCAGACATGTACCATGCCCCTACTGTGTGTCAAGCCCTGGTGAATGGAACAGGGCTTGTGGAACTTACATCCTATCGGGGGGAGCGGGGTGGGAACCAGATAATCTCACAATATACAGAATCACAAACAGAGATAAATGTCTTGAAGAAAAGCATAGAGAACCATGAGATTGTATCCAAGGTTAACAGGAAAGAATATGAGGATTCAAAAAGGCTTCCCTGGAGAAGTGCAGGGAATGGCATGTGAAAGACCGTTCCCTAGACCAGCGGCTCTCCACCGTGGTGCACAGTGGAATCCATCCTGAGAGTTTTTAAAAGTGCGGTTGCCTGGGTCCCGTTCTCAGGAGTCCTGAAGGTCTGGGGTGCGGCTGGGCATCAGAGCCTTCAGAAATGAAGGTGAGAGCTACTGCCCTAGCAGGTCTCCGACGTTGCAGGGAATAAATTTCCTTATCACATCTTTTCAGGACACTCTTCTCAGTACCAGGGAGAGTACATGGGCTGAGCATTTTTGAACCTCCATTTTCTTCCAGAAGAAATTTTAAAAATGCTTACTCAGAAGTTCCTTTGTAAAGACCCTATATATAAAAACAATATAAAATGAATTTTTAAAAAAACGATAAAAGTTTATTAGTGAGCAATTTATCTGCAAGGAGTCCCCTGTTGATAGTGGTCTAAGAAGAGAGGATTGTTTTTTTCATACAATGAGAAAGTCAAGAGATGGACAGTGGCCCACTTTGGTCCAGCATCTAAGGGTCAATACTATCAGGGCTCCAGACCCCATAAGCCCCTGGCTTGTCCCTTATGGTGGCTTCTCTCCTCATCCTTGTTACTTCATGGTAGCAGAATGGCTGCTGCAGCACCAGCCATCTTATCTGTCTTCTAGTCAGAAAGAAGGGGGAAGCTATGTCTCTCCCCAGCGATGATTCTCCCTTATCAGAACAGGCTTTCCCAGATGCCCACCCTTCTTCCACCAGACCTTGCACTGACCAACACTGTGGCACACGGTCACCTCCAGGTGCAAGGGAGTCTGGGAAGTAGAAGGTCTATCTATCTAGTCTCTAGCAGTGGTTCTTCCTAATGCCGTGACCCTTTAATACAGTTCCTCATGTTGTGGTGACCCCCAATTTCATTGTTACAAATTGAACATAATTAAAGCGTAGTGATTAATCACAAAAACAATATGTAATTATATATGTGTTTTCCGATGGTCTTAGGCGACCCCTGTGAAAGGGTCGCGACCCACAGGTTGAGAACCTCTGCAAAGTATAAAGAGAGGGAAGGGAGAATAAAGGTGGAGAAGGGTGTTACCACACCCAGCATGGTTAAGGAATCCTGTCCCAGAGTCACCTCCTCCACATCTTGGATCAAAAGCATCTCTTTGAACCTCTGCCCTGGAATACTGTGGACTTCAGCCTTCTTTCTGTTGGGAAGCATCAGCCTGGGCTGTTTAGAGTTCTCTTCCTTGGCTCTAGTAACACAGTCGTCTGTTGCTCGCTAGGACAACTTACAATGGGACCCAAAGGCGAAAGAGGATTTCCAGGGCCTCCAGGAAGATGTCTTTGTGGAACCCCCGTGAATGTGAATAACCCTTCTTATGGGGAATCCGTGTATGGGCCCAGCTCCCCGAGAGTCCCTGCGGTAGGTTCTTGTGGGAGAAACCTGGGGTGTTACCCAGCAGCACCTCTCATCTGGTCCTCGGGCCTTTGTAATAATAAAACTTATTTTTTATGTATGTATGTATTTGTTTAGCAAAACTTATACTGGGTACACACATAAGAAATTGGACATAAGGAAAAATCAAAAGAAAACTATTTTGTTGTGAGTCCATTTTGATGTATTTTCTTTGTCTTTTTAAACAAAAAATTACAGAAAATTTCAAAGAAATACAAAAGCCAAACAAATAGTATAATAAAAGTCCATGTGCTCTTTATCCAAATTCCATATTTATCGACTCATGGCCAATCTTGCTTCCTCTTTATGCCAGCCCACTACTGCCCACCCTCCCTTGGTTTATTTTGTAGTAAAGCTGGACACCAGTTCATCATAAACATCATTTGAATTGATGTATAATCACCCGTCCACCATGCAGTTGTGCTGTGATTTATTTAACCAGTGTCCTATTGTCAATGTTTATGGGGTATGCCCAAGCTTTTCACGAACGTACATAATACTGTAATGAACACCTTTGCGAATTTTGTTAAGACTCATTTGTAAATGTTGAATTACTTGCTTAGATGACCTCACCTTCCTATTTAAGTCTTGGGCACATTTTAAACGTTTTTAAAAATTTGGATATTTTTACTTCAAATGGAGACATTAGGAACTGGATTGAAAAGCTATGGGAATCAGGAGGAATGCTAGAGTGTAACATGCAAACGCCCTTCCCACTGATAACCAGTCCAAGTACAGCGACGTGTCCTCCTCCAGCCCTCCTCTGCCCCCACTGGAAGTGTCTTCTCAAAGCCTCACCAGTGTGTCCTCTGGCAGATTTTCGTGGTCAACAACCAGGAGGAGCTTGAGAGGCTGAACACCAAACATGCCATCGCCTTCCGCAAAGACCAGAGGTCCCTGTACTTCAAGGACAGCGTTGGCTGGCTCCCCATCCAGGTACCCAAGGCAGGCGCTCGGGACACCCCCCACCAGGAAAGGCATGTACCTTTCAAGGTAGAGAAGGCCAACAGCGAGGCTGGTGCAGAGTTCTGTTTCCGTGGAAGGGCTGCGCATCCTCCCTCGCTGTCTCTGAGCAGCTCTTCATGCCCCCGCTCCCCAAATAGAACCTTTTCTTCTGAGCCAAGGTTCCCAACAGTCTCACGTCCCTGCACTGCAAGGGCAGAGTGGATCAGGCCCAGCCTTCCTGCCCCTACAGAACTCTGGGTGACAAAAAAGCAGTGCCTTTCCCACCCAGGAGTGGGGGCGCTCCTCGGCAGAGCCCCCCCGGACCCAGAGCTTCTGTCCCCAGTGCCAATGACCTGCCCTGCCTGGCACACTGTCCTTGGTAACTTGGTGTGTTTCTTTGGCCAGCTGACCCCCTTCTATCCTGTGGACTACTCTGTAGACCACCGCGGCTCCTGTGGGGACGGGGTCCTGCAGCCCGGGGAGGAGTGTGACGACGGGAACGATGATGTGGGTGACGACTGCATCAGTGAGTGGGGCCCTGCCATCAGGGTGGGGGGCAGGGCAAGCCCTGGACACCTGGGGTGATTTGGGATCATTTTAGAGCCTGCGGGGTGTACCTGAGCTGTGGTGGGGATGACCTGCCTCTGAGGCCAAATGTTAACTCCTTCATTATCCAGGCAGGTCACTGGGGGTTGGGGTCAAGGCCCTTGCCCCCAGAGAAGCCACCAGGGCCTGCTTTTTTTCTGAATCCTACTTCTTGGCAAAATCCAAATTCCAGTTCATGTTCTTTGTCAAAAGATCAGGGTGAAAAACAAACAAAAAAGAGAGAAGAAACCACAAGCAAGATAAGGGTGATGAAGAGTGAAAGGAAAAAGGGGGAAGCCAAGAATTTAAATCCGGACTCACTTTTACCAGATGGAGCACTAGTAGCAAAGCCCTTTTTAGTGAGTGGGCCCAGCCCAGGCTGTCCTGCCCCTGCCCCTTCTCAGGGCTGCACTTGCTTGTGTCCTCTCAGGCTGTCACCGGGCATACTGTGGAGATGGTCACCGGCACAAGGGCGTGGAAGACTGTGACGGCTCTGACTTTGGCCACCTGACGTGTGAGACCTATCTCCCTGGGTAGGGATGCCCTCACATGCTGTTCTGACACCCCCCGCCCCCTCCTTCACCCTCCCTCCTCCCTTCTCTCTTTCCTTCACAAACAACTTTGAGTGCATCTTCTGTTCCTGGTATTTTCTGGACACTGAGGTATAGTAACAACACAGTACAGGATTCCTGCTCCTCCGGGGGAGACAGGCAATAGACCCACAGCCACTGGGTATCCTCCAAGAGCAGCCAAGGCCAGGGCGAAACAGACACAGCCACCAGCTCCATCTGGGCTCCGGTGTCAGCAGTCTCCAAGCTCAGCTGTTACCCCTGCGTGAGCAACTCCATCCCCAGTGGCCGCCATGACCACATTAGTCTCTGGGGCTACGGGTCTGGGAGGGAGTCCAGTGGAGGGCGGAGGTATCAGGGCATCTAAGCATCTGTGTAACAAGCTCCCACCAGGCCTGTGGGTGCAGGTGAGACCACACCAGCATCTAACTTTGCTCACTCGTGGCTCCTTCAAGAAAACCCCAGGAACTTAGTATTGCTTTCAAGGACCCCTTTAATTATTTCTGAGCCTCTTCATAGGGGTTTGAGTTGCTCAGGGTGACTATTCTAGTGTTGTGACCTCTGCATTGACATCCCCAGGCCAGCTGAAGGCTCTGGCCCTGTGAGGCACTGACTCCGTGCCCAGAATGTGGCGGCCTGAGCTCCTTTCAAGGTGTGATATGGTGCTACGTTCCCCAGTCCTCATAGAACCAGAGTTGTCTAACTCTCTAGGGAAAACAGGGAGGCTCCTCCCTTAGCTCCAGGGGATACCTGGCCTGTCAACCCTCTTATGTCCCTCAGGAGCCCAATCTCTTCCAGCCCTGTTCCTTTGAAAGGCGTGGACCAGGCCCTCAGCAGAGCTGGGGAGCCAACACCAGGCCGCTCTTTCCATTGCCCCCCTCTCTTTTCAAGGGCATCTTTTCGATACCCACACCCAAACCTGTATCAGCATATCAGACGGCGGGGGGGAGGGGAAGGGGAGGTTGGAGTGGGGGTGAGCGGAGACTGTAGACAGTGATGGCGAACCTTTTGAGCTCGGCATGTCAGCATTTTGAAAACCCCTAACTTATCTCTGGTGCCGTGTCACATATAGAAATTTTTTGATATTTGCAACCATAGTAAAACAAAGATTTATATTTTTGATATTTATTTTATATATTTAAATGCCATTTAACAAAGAAAAATCAACCAAAAAAATGAGTTCGTGTGTCACCTCTGACATGCGTGTCATAGGTTTGCCATCATTGCTGTAGACTTATAGTCACCCCAAGGTTCCAAGCACTCTAGCCTTGGCCAGGCCTCCACTGCATCTGATGTCTGTGGGTGCTGCGCCCCCTTGAGGTAAGGAGGGCTCCTAACAGGCACCTGCCAGAAAGTTGGCAAAAGGGCCAAGTGGGTGGATGGCTCCATGGCAACAGCTGAGTGTAGACAGTCACTCATGGAGAAGAGGACTGCATGCAGTGGTTCTCCACCTTCCTAATGCCGCGACCCTTTAATACAGTTCCTCATGTTGTGGTGACCCCCAACCATAAAATTATTTTCGTTGCTACTTCATAACTGTAATTTTGCTACTGTTATGAATCGTAATGTAAATATCTGATATGCAGGATGTATTTTCAGGGGTCGTGACCCACAGGTTGAGAACCACTGGTAGAGCCTGGCGTGCTGGGGTTTCTCTCCTAATCCCTAGAAGCCTGGGGTGCTTGTGAGCGTGGGCATAATGCACAGCACGCTGTCTCAGGATTAGGACTTGGGCTTACGCAGGTATACACTGCGCTGTCCAGTGTGGTAGCCTGCAGCCACACGTGGCTATCTAAATTTAAATTATAAAGTAAAATAACATTTAAAATCCAGTTCTTCAGTCACACTAACCTTATTACCAGCGCTCAGTAGCCACAGAGGGCCCGTGGCTGCGTAGTGGACTGCACAGCCATAGAACATTTGCATCAGCACAGGATGGTCTAATGGACAGAGCCGAGCATGTTTCAGGCCTCGAGAGGGGGAGATTCTCTCAGAGATGCTGTGTTAAGGCAAGTCTACCAACCCTCTCTCCCAGACCCCTCAGCTGGGCTCAAGGGGAAAAGACCACAGGCCTTGACTCCACTCCCCCACATCCCTGGCCTCACATGAGCATGAGAACAGTCTCTATAGAACTTTGGGCAGCAGTGGCTGCTGTTGGATGAGGTTTGACCAAAGCCACCAGAGTGGCCCTTTAGAACATGGCTTTTCCCCCAGGGCTGGCAGGGCCTCTCCTGCCCACTGCCCAGTGTCCACCCTCACCTGTATCTGCCTCCTTAGGTCATATGGGGACCTGCAGTGCACCCCGTACTGCTACATCGACTCCACACCCTGCCGCTACTTCACCTGAGGCTGCCAGGAGGTGGCTGCATCGCACGTACCTGCAGCAGCGTCTCCACCCTCATTCAACTGACCTCATACCGTCCTGGTCCAGTTTCCACCACCTTCATTCAACAAAAACAAGGTCAAACTCTTGCTGCTAAGATGTGCTTTTAACTCAGTCTGACGGGAAGAACTCAGGACCACTGCATCCTGTCTTAATCCAAAGTATTGGAAGACCTCCCACATGCCCAGCCTGGGGAGGCCCAGGCTCCCACTGGGCTGGTAGCTGACGACAGTGTCCACTGTCTTCCGGAGTATGGCCGACCAGGCCCTGGACTGGCTTAGCACTGTTAGACACACATAGACCTGCGGGCTGTTTGCTCACATCCCGGTGGGGGCACCTGGGGCACCTGGGATATAGGCCTCTGCCCCTCTGACTTCTGGAAGCCTGGGCATCTCACCAGGGAAGCCAGCCTCCAGCTCTCTCCAGGCCAGTGAACCACACAGCAGGAAAGGGGGGCCCTTCTCTCAGGGTAGCTCCCAGCTCTAGACCCACTGAGGGACTCCTCAACTACCCACAGCCCAGAACAGCCTCATGTGGACACTGCTCCCCTAACAAGAGACCTAACCATGAAGAAGTACTGAGAAAGCCCCAAACCCATGCTCTGTCTGGTTAGAGGGTGAGGCTCAGCTGGGGTGCCTATGAGCAGAGAGTAGTGAGTAGTGGCCTTCCACTTCTCCGTGTTTCCCCAAGGGCGGCTCTCATGGTCTCACCACTCCAGACTCCATCTTGACCTCGTGGCTCTCTGCAGTTTGACTTCCATCTCACAAATGCCCCTCATGTCCATTTCTGGCTCAGGAGATTCTCAAACAAAGTTCATGCCCAGGCAGGGCTGAGGAGAGCCCCACCGGGGTTTCCCATCTGGGACCCAACCACTTCTAGGCAAAGAGTTTCTGTCCTGAGCTCCGACTGCTGGCTGCCTGCTGACTCTTGTGACCCCCCATGTCGTCATAGTGCGTAGCCTGGTCCTCATGTCTGTGTGCCCGAGCCCCACAGGTGTCCGCAGGACCATCAGCCTGCACATCTGTGAGCTGCCTTTCATCACTGGCTTTCCTGAGTGGGGCCCCAGCTTTGTTTTGGAAAGACATCTCCACACGGCAGACCTCAAATGGGATTTGCCCATTTGTTACCAGATGCAGGGACATCCTAGGCTTTTGTACAAAGCTATTTCCTGTGGCTAAGTCTTGGTGACTCAGCAGACAGGAGCGTCTGGTCCATCAGGCCATCATACTACAGTAGACGGGGTCGGCCCAAGGGAGGTGTCATTTGTGGTGGGCACATCGGTCAGCCTGGTTTCCTCAGCCTCTACCCCATGTCCTGGGGTGATGTTACTCCCATGTAAAGCCACCACCTTCATACCGGGATCTCCGGTGGGAAATCAAGAAATAAAGGCAAAAAGAAAAAGAAAGAAAGGCAGTTCCTTTCCCTGCTGTGGCTGTCTTCCCTGGGAGTTTGGAAAGTGTCCAGCATTGCCTGGTGGAATGAGGGGTCTTAGTTCAACTCTCCTTTCCAGACTGCAGAGGGTTCTAGAGCTTAGAAGCAGTCCCGCTCTCTCAGGGATAAGGGAGGAAACTGGGGTGCAGAGGTCACAAAGCCATCTTGCTAGCCCAGCCCCACCCCAGCCTTGTATTATGACCTTGTTTCGGATGGTGGAGATCCAATACTGCCTTGGGCCTGGCTGAGAGGATCCCTGCCCTGGGTCTCACACCTTGGAGGGCACTAATATGTTTAATTATCATATATAATAAAAGCCTAATATACAAATCAACCGACCAGCAGAATGACTGGTTGTTATGATGCATACTGACCACCGGGGGCAGACACTCAACGCAGGAGCTGCCCCTAGTGTTGGTGGCAGGGGGCGGGGCCAGCAAGCGGGTAGTGCCAGGCCAGCCAAGATGGGTGCCAGTGGGGGCCCCTCCAATCGCCCCACCAGGCACCCCGCAGAGGGAGGTGACTGGCGATAGCAGTGGGGGGCTGGGCCAGAGAGCAGGTGGCGCCAGGCCAGCCTAGGTGGGTGCCAGCAGGGGCCTCCCGATCGCCCCGCCAGTTGCCCTGCAGATCGCCCCAATCACTAGCCAGGCCGAGGGACGCCACCCGTGCACAAATTTGTGTACCAGGCCTCTAGTCCGAGGAGATTGTTACACTTGAGCAACCCAGAGTTACCACTCAGAAGTTCCAGGAGTGTCTGTCTTCTCCCTCACCTTCATTTGTAACATTCTGAGAGGGTTGCAAATCACACAAAAGTAATGGGTTGCAGAGTCCCCACCATCTCATCCAACCCCCCTGAAATACAGAAAAAGAACTTACAGTGCTTTATCAGAGGGGTTCTCTCTGGGGATTCACCTGCTTGTTTTCAGTCCCATACACTTGACTTTTAATCAGATAAGTCTACAAAAAACAACCTTCCTAAGAAAGAAATCAGCTATTTCCCTGCCCTTTCCCCCTTGTCCCACTCCCTTTCTAGATATGAAAAGGGGCCCATGTAACACTGAAATTCTGCTGCAGGAACATTAGTATCTCAAGTGAATTTCATTTGTGGTTATTTGGGCCCCTGTAGTTTCTTCAGAGTCAATGATGAATTTTCTTGTCTTTGATGTTCCAACCCACGAACAGGACCACCATTTACTGCATACCCTGCCCAGGTTATACTCAATCCAACCGCTAGATGGGAAGTTAAATACAGGCATGGTGGTAATGGGTCATCGCCTGAGGTTCACCAAGGGATTGTCCTGAATCAGCAGTTCTCAATTAGGGTCTGTCAGAATGACCTGAAGGGCTTGTTAAAACATTACGGGGTCCTACTCTAGAGTTTCTGATTCAGCAGTCTGGGTGGGGCCTGAGAATTTACATTTCTAACAAGGTCCCAGAGGATGCTGTTGGACCAGGGACCACATTTTAAGAGCCAGTGCTCTAGGGATATGGCTCATCTGAGAACAACTGCAGAAGACTAGGCCAAAAACACAGGGAGGAAAGGTGAGGACTTTGGGTGGGTGGCTTTTTAAAACTCTTCCATTAAAGAGGGCTGGAGGGGTGTCTATGCCCCTTCCTCTTGAATCTAGGTGGGCTTTTGACTGCTTTGACATACAGAATACTGTGGAGATGATGCTGTGTGAATTCCCAAGCTAGGTCATAAAAGGCCATACAGCTTCTCAGAACACTCATTCTAGGGGAAGGCAGCATCCCGTCGACTATCCTGAGACTGCCCTGCTAGAGAGCCGTGCAAACCCCTTTGGATGATGGTCTCAAATGAGCCTGCTTCCAGCCATGCCCACCATGTGCCCGACATGTGAGTGAAACCAGGCTGGACTCTCCAGTCCTGCCCATCTGCCAACTGAATACCACTGAGTGACCTCAGTTGAAGCCACAGAGCAGAATTGCCCAGCCAAGTTCTGTCCTTATTACTAACCAACAGATTGCATGAGATAAAATGACTGTTTTAAGCCACTAAGTTTTAGGATAGTTTGTTCTAGGCCATAGATGACCACAGTACTGCTCTAGGTTAGAAAGGGGAGAGAACTACATGCAAGGAAGTGCCAAGCCTAGAGAAACCTCTGACTTCGGTTTGGCGCCCTCTGCAGGAGCCATGAATAGAAATGTTTTATCTCCCATTTGGGACTTTTATCTGGTGAGAAAAGCCAGAGCTAGGAGGGGCCTCCTTAGTGATGACATGGCCCAGGGTTCTCAACCATGGTGGAGACGTGGGGTATGTGGAGGTAGTAGATTGACTGCAATAATTTCCCCAATGTTCACACCCCCCTGTATCCACACCTCTCCAGTGTACTCTGCAACTCCTGCAACTGGAGTGTGCTCCCCACCCCTTGATTCTCAACTTGGCCCTGTCACTTGCTTTGGCCAATGACATGTCAATAACTGTGGCAGTGGCAGTTGTTTCCTCTCTAGCAGCTCTGCCTTTGCCATGACAATATGCCCAGGCTAAGATGCTAGAGGACAAGACACATGGAGCCAACCTGCCCGAGTTGCGCCAAGGCCATCTTAGATCAGCTGAACCTGTCAACTGCCAGGCACGAGAAGGCGCCCAAGCAAGACCAAAATCTGTCCAGCCACCCATTTTAAATCGCCAATCGAGACTCGTGAGCAAAATAAATGCATATTATTTTAAGCCATGGAGTTTAGGGTTTGTCATTATAGTGACAACAGTTAAAAGAGCATTAAACTCTTAGGTGATGAACGTACACCCCCACTTCCCCACTGAGACCTGGCTCAAGTCTAACTATTTCCACCTGAGGAAATGGGAGCCATTTGTAGAATAAGCAGCAAAGGATTCCTGGCCTAGATCTCTTGACATGTAATTATATTTAATCTAAATTTATTAAGCACCCATTAGGTGCAAGACACCACAGAATTAAAAAGGAATGTGGCCATGACCCACCAAGGAGTTTGCAGTCTATCAGCAAAGCCAAGACCTCAAGACAGACGTGGGCACTGTTGGTAACAAATGTGGAATGGAAGCAGGAGGCAGGGTCCCTACCAGCCATCGAGTGTCAGTTCCAGGGAAGGAGTATGGTGAGCTAATACTAGGATACACCTAGGGATTCAATTGCAGTTGCACCCTTACATGGTTCTCAGACCCAAAACTAAGCCTGCCTTTCCAGAACAACTGAAATGACCTCAAGTGCCAGGTGGCTTACTAAAGTCATCCTTTAGTTCTGAACTTACCTTTTAAAACTAAGGTGTGAGTCCTAAAAAAGCATAACACCAAACTGAGGAATCAATTTAGATAATCAGGGTTAAGCACAAAGGATTCTTTAAAGAACCGTACATTTTGCATAATTTCTATTAAGAAAATAAAACCCACAAGGACAAGAAGTGTATTGCTGACCTTCATTTTTACTTAAATATAGTGATCTTTTAAGAGAATAAACAACAACAAAACTTTACACAGAAAATGTTTTGCATAAATGTAAACATGCACGTCTACTTCATAATTAAGCAAAATAAACTTTTAAGCACAAAATTTTAAAAACATTAAAGAATGAGACAACAAACCCAAGACAGAAATAACAGGAGCAACAAAAACACAAATTTCATAAAGCTTCAATTGGTCTTGTCTTCCAACCTACGGGTTAAGGCCTGAGTTTCAGAAATCCTACCTTCCTTGCCAAATGGAAATGTCCAATTTGGCTGTACTTAATATATATCCACATACCATATTATTACTCTTTCAAAATAATGTAATAAATACATCACACATACACACACCCACACATATCCTACTTAACCAGCCACTTGAATAGGGAAGGATTTTGGAATTTCAAGTTTTCCCACTACTGAAGAACATACATATAATACCACACATAGAAAGAATGATCCTGCTACAGAAATAAAATGGTTAATGAGTGGCATTGTTACAAATATCTAGTTTCTCTGTATTAAGTTTTTCCAAATCATGTCTTTACTGTGGGTCCTCAGATAATTTGGACTTAAGTCTTTATACCTTACCTAATGACCCACAGTACGGTAGACATAGAACAAAGAGAAGATAATTTTAACAATTCAGTTAGAAACTTCAAAATGATGAAAATCAGCATGGATACTTTTCAGCTTTCTCCAAATGCCTGGAATGTTTTCTCTATGTCTACCCTTTCTACTGTACTTGTTGGTTCTCTCTGCCTCCTCCCCACCAGCTATAAGCATCTGACTGTCTATGCCTGTGGATGTCCCAGAGGATGGAGATAAGAATGACGGTCCCTGCCTTTAAGGAGTTCACACTAACCAGAGCTTGAGCAAGGAAGTCAGTATGGACTCAGCATTCCAGCTGGTTGAAAAGAACAGAGGAAAGGTCCATGAAACGGCACCTCAGGAGTCAGGTTTGGGGAAGAGGAGGAGGAGAGACTGAGAAGGCACAGAGGCAGGAAGAACAAGACCAGTTTGCCTGGCATGAGGGTACTCGTGAGTAGTCTGTAAGGCCAATTTTTTGATTTCCAAAAACAAAAGATTCTTTACTGTGGTGGGTAAAGCTGGAGGGCAGGGGAGGGAATCACCGAGGGCTTTGTGCAGAGAACCAAACTGGAGCCAGGCTAGAGAAGACCATGCGTGTCGGGACGATGGGTGACAGGAGAGCCTGAAGCTCCGAGAGCTTGACTCGACAACCCAGTGCCACATGCAAGCATTTCCTATAGAACAAGCTTCTTTACCTGACATGCCCAAACCATAGTTCTAAACCTGCCCTAGCTTGAGCAAGTCAAGAGCAGTGAAACATTCCTACATTCAGTAACAATTCATGTCTCCCAATCATGACCTTCACCCTCCCTGAGCTGTCATTACTAAGGAAATATAAAACAATTACCAATTCATTATAAATAAGTTCCTATGTGCCATTAAACCCCCTGACACCTCCTGATGGGCTGAGAACCCACCACAGGGTACAAGTGTGGACCTATTACCTACACTTGGTAGAATAGTATGAGCGTGCTGTTGGACAGTGACTGCTGGTCCACATCTCCAGCTCACTGGGATCACTATGCAGTTAAAACAGGGGACACCATAAGGCTCAACTCTAACCAAGGCCACCACCTTGGATCAGCTAATTCCCTTCTAGGTCAAGACTGCATCCCTCCACTAGCTGGGGAAGGAGAGGCCATCTGAGTGGAGGGATCCCAGGAAGGAAAATCATATTTAATGTTACTGATACCTGCTAAACCAAAGTAGATGGAAATTTCTCCGGACATATTCATTCAAATTACAGAAATGGGACACTGCAAACTAATTATGGGACAATTTATCGCACATTCACTCAATATGAAACATTTACTAGTGACCAGTTTCCTCAACAACAGATTCACTTGGAAACTGCACAATGCAGAAGGCAACCTTGTGACTTTCTTCTACCTGTATATAAAAACTACAAATCAGTCTGGCAATCAGGCACAAACAGTGGTACAAATGCACGAACAGAGACACCTTATCAAAAGAATGTGCTCATTTCATATTGCAGAACTCCTATTTAGATTCTGGTTTCTGAAAACCTGCTGCTGGTTCATTTGTTTAGAAAGGTTTCCTCACTACACCTCTCTTCTACTCCTGCCTCCCCCACTACAATCCACTGAATGAGGAACACTTAATATGGATCTACTCAGAAGTAAAAGCCCCAAATTAGCTGGGTCATGTGTCAGTACACTGGCTGCTGGTTTAATCTGCTAACCCAGCCTCCTGCATTTAGGGACTGTCTGGATCTGAATTTGAGCTAGAAGTACACAACACTTGTCTTTTGGAATCCACTACAAATTCCTATGTACATCTGTAAGTCTCACGTATGAGAACCTCTGGTTCTAACAAATGAGACTCAAGGGAGGGGACAGTGGGAAAAGCCTGGACTGGGGGCAGGAGGCTAAACCAGCTGAGTGCTTCCCTTTCCTTATTTGTAAATGAGGGGGTTGAACTGCTAGGGCTCCAGGGTCCCGCCCAGCTGACACCTGAGGACTCCACCTTGAAGTCCATTTCTTCACAGGCTTGCCAGGCTGTCAAACAAAACTTCCTTACCACTTTGTTTCCACATTTCAAGTGGTTTTAACATACTTCTATGTGGCAGTCTGAGGTTTCCCCCTCTCTCCTATCCCTCAAAGACTGTTTCTCATTTCACTGGTGCAGACCACTTGGCCAAACTGGTGACTGCCAGGGTTTAAAACAGAATCACTGGCCTGGTGAAGATATGGCCTTTGAGTAACCTAGACCAGGGCACATTTGCCTGTTTTTCATTGCCAATGTTAACCAAATAGAAATATAATTGTTAGTTCTTCTATAGATCTACTTAAACCTTGAAACATGAGATTGTTCAAATAATTACACAAGAAAGTCACCCATCACCATTAAGTTAAAGACTTGAATATCTGAGAGCTTTAGGGCCTCGAATTCCTACTACAGTCACTGATCCACAGCATTTTCTCTTGTCAATGGATTCCATGCAAAAGTAGTCCGGTCTTGCAGTATATTTGTGCACCAAAAAGTTGATTTAGAAAGATCCAGCTCTAGTCATCACTGTCACTCCCAGATTCACTCAACTGCAAGTCATTTCCTATAAAAAGAAAACAGAATCAAACCAAAAGTACATAATTTAAAAATGACTTTCCCACATTTCTTTGGTTGATTGCCTTTGCTATCACGCTCTAGCAAAACCAAGCCAATTTGATTTAGCTCAGTGACAAAACAGGTGCAGTCAACATTTTGAAAGGAATGTTATTTGTGGTATCTGCAAAACAATTCTGCTTACTGAGATAAGAACAGGGGAGGAGTAGGCTAGACAGCTTTTAAATGTGTTAATAAATAGTAAGGAAATACTGTATTTCTAAATAACGGACTCACTGTCTAGAATTTTTCACATTAAGTTGCTTTATAAAAGCCAATACCAAATTAGGTTTCCCACTAGGGAAGCGAAACACTTTTTATACCTACAACATGCTAGTCCAATTCCCCTCTGGTACACCTCTGTCCAGGATATTCATGTTACTTTAAACCTGAAACCTTAACTAATGAGTGTTGTAAAGCCTCACATTTGTGTTTGGTGTGCAGAATTTAGATTTATACAAGCACTCAACATTTCCATCTGAGAATAAGAATAACAGCTGCCCAGTTGATACCGACTGGATTACAACAAAAGTGAACTGTGTTTCTGGATTGCTAATCTCTAAGCCACCTCTCCTCCACGTTTGTTCGGAGGTCCCTGGGGTCCTTCTTTTTCTAAGTACACACCTAATGTCAGATTTTTTTCATATACTTCAACCTACACAACTAATGGCAACAGAGTGGATGCAGCAATCTTTCTACTAAGCCATGCATTAAAGAGATAAGCAAATTTTTAAAAAATATATTTTTATTGATTTCAGAGAGGGAGAGATAGAAACATCAATGAGAGAATCATTGATCGGCTGCCTCCTGCACACCCCGTACTGGGGATCGAGCCCGCAACCCGGGCATGTGCCCTTGACCGGAATCGAACCCAGGACCCTTCAGTCCTCAGGCCGACACTCTACCCACTGAGCCAAACCAGCTAGGGCAGATTTGCAAAATTTTAAAGCAGTTACCTTCTTACTAAATATTTTTTTATTTAGTGCTTCTTTTTTTACTATTTGGTAATTTATTCCTTTCTGTTCAGAATTATCTTTGTCAGGATCCTTTCTTACACTTTAAATATCTCCAGGCTTATAAATTCTGACCTAAGATAAATAGAAGCTGCATCTGTGGCCTGACAGACCACCTTCCCGGCCAGAAAAGGGAAAGCACACTTACTGAGGGTGTTCATGAGCTGGTTGCTCCCCTGTGGCCGGCCGGTTCCATTGACAAGGGCCGGCCTGCTGTTGTAGGGCTGCTGGTGTGCAGGCTGGGGAGGAGAGGTAGGGCCGTTGTCCTCGCCTCCGCTGCTGGAGCTGTCGTCATCACTTCCCGAGGAGCTCTCAGAGTCTGAGGAGCTGCTCCCACTGCTGCTGCTCATCTGCTCAATAATGTCCACTTCAGCCCTCAGCTCTGGAATAAAATGGCACAAGTGTCAACAGAACAACCATTCTCAAGGCAGCACTTTTATAAATAGTAAATCTGCAAAACCAACAGCAATGAGGAATAACTTAAATGAACTCCTGCTTCTCAATTCCTTAAAAACGTACAAACAAAATGACCTAAACAAAAATACCTAACCTGTCTTCAGAGAGACAATGAAAACATTAAATTCACCCCAAATAACCAAAAAGCAAACTGCTTCAGGATGATGACTGTTCTATTTTGTCTTTATCTACTAAGAAAAAAATTGTGAATTAGATAATTAAACACCAAATAAGAGCCTCCTGCACATCCCTTATGCTAAGGGATTGAAAAATATTTAATTAGTAACTGGAAGGTCTGAGTGCTTGTTTTGGATCTAACCAGCAGGGAGACCCAGTGGAAGCCAATGAATTTTCCAAGACCCTCGGGAAAAATGCAGGGCCAGACAGACAGCACCTGGAGTGCTTTCCAGTTTTTATGTCCCACGAATAAATGGAAGCTTGCAGGAGGAACCACAGTGACTGAAGACAGATGGTGGAACATTCCTCCTCTGCCCTCTTTCTGTATTTGACTGGCAGTCCTGCCTGTCAGGTACTGCATTTTTTACAGACATAAAGCAGGGAAGGAAAAACATGTTTTACCCAACATGTCAATGTCACTGAATACATTAAGGATATAGAATAGATTTTCCTGCCCAAACACACCATGTGGCCTTAAACGGCTATGGTTCCTTTAAGAATAACTGGGAACAATTCCTGTTCAACTAAAGTGAAAACTCCCATAAATGACATTCCAATATTCATGAGGGGGAAAAAAATCAAGTGGCTTAACCACTTGTGCACCATGCAAAGACTGACTTTGTTTTGCTAAGAGAGCTCCTCTCTAAAGTGGAAAAGGCAAGCCTCCCAAGGACAACTCTCTCTTACCCTGTTTACTACTGTTATCTATTTAATTTTGTTTCATAAAATACGCCACTTAGCCTCATAACTTCCCAAAAGTATGAACAACTAATGAGATCCATTGCACAGAAGAGAGAGCAAGGTAAGCAAGCTTCTTTCTCAGGTATGTAATGGAGAGAGCCTCACCAGACCTCTAATCTTTTTAGGCCACTGTCCATTTCCACTGGTCCTCATGGTGCTTTCATATGTGTAAACTTGATGTCAGTAGAAAGTATTGGTCACGGTAACTTTAATGTCCCTCTAAGCTAGATACTATACTAACACTCGCACACCTGGCTTTCACCCTTAGCACCTTGGAATTTTCTTCTTCCAAAGCCTTGAAGGTGTGCAATAGGCCCTTCGCTTGTTTAAATCCTGGGCCTCTCAGCAGAATGCTGCGAAGATAGCCACAACTCAAGTCACTCTGCCTGGATGCTCCCTGTCAAACGAGGTGAGAAAGCCCCCACCCTCATCACTCTGGAATGGTGAACTCTGCAGAAACCGTCAACAGCAGAGAATGCCCACACCATCATGTCAATATTCAGCCCTGTGCTCTCCACAGAAACATCACCATACTACAAGTTGCTATCGTGCCTCCAAAAACTGCCCTCTACCTCTTTTGATGTCATCCAGCTGAGGTTCAGGTGAAGGGTTATCTTTCAAGGGCGAAGTTTTGGGTCCAACTGGAGGCTTTGTTGGAGCTCTGAATGGCATAGGTGGTGGGGGCGGAGGCGGCTGTGATGGCTGTGTTGGCTGTGGGGGACGAGCGGGCTGCTGTTCCATTCGGGCTTGGATTTTACTGCTCCCCTCAGCCCTGAAATGAGATACAGACATTAAACCAGAGGGACAAAGCCAGTGGTTCTCAAATTGGTCCAGGTGGCTGACCACTAGAAGTCTCTACAGAATTCCATGCTTTTTAGATTGCTGCAGAATGTTGCTGTTTATAATTTTATCACATGAACTAATCATTCAACAACCATCTATTGCAGTGATGGTGAACCTTCTGAGCTCGGCGTGTCAGCATTTTGCAAAACCCTAACTTAACTCTGGTGCTGTGTCACATATAGAAATTTTTTGATATTTGCAACCATAGTAAAACAAAGACTTATATTTCTGATATTTATTTCATATATTTAAATGCCATTTAACAAAGAAAAATCAACCAAAATAATGAGTTCGCGTGTCATCTCTGAACGCGTGTCATAGGTTCGCCATCACTGATCTATTGTATTCTAGTACTGCATCATGCACCAGAGATAGAGATGAATACAATAGACCCACTGCCCTCAGGAGTTCACGTTTTATAGCAAGAAGCAGATAAAACAGAAATGAGACTACAATGTGATTGTAAGAACCCATTTTTTAAAATATATTTTTTATTGATTTCAGAGAGGAAGAAGGGGAGAGAAATAGAAACATCAATGATGAAAGAGAATCATGGATTGGCTGCATCCTGCATGCCCCCTCCTGGGGAGCAAGTCCACAACCTAGGCATGTGCCCTTGACCAGAATCAAACCCAGGACCCTTCAGTCTGCAGGCCGATGCTCTATCCACTGAGCCAAACTAGCGAGGGCAAGAACCCATCTATATATATAAAACCCTAATATGCAAATAGACCGAACGGCAGAACAACTGAACTGGTTGCTATGATGTGTGCTGACCACCAGGGGGCAAGCGCAAAACATGGCAGGCGTTGGCAGCAGGTGGCAGAGTGTGGAACATGGTGGGTGTCAGCGGTGGTGGGATGGTGGAGCAGGTGAGCAGGGGTGCCAGACCAAGGTGGGGCAGCAGTTGCTGTCATTGGGGTGAGCCTCGGGTGGTTACTGAAAATTCTTTGCTCCCGTGCACCAGGGTCCCGCCCAGCACTCGCACCTGCTGCCTGCGAGCGGCAGCTGCCGGCCCCAATCACCCTTGAGGGCTTCTCCACCTCCCCCTGCTCCTGAGGGGCAATCAGGGCAGCAGCTGCCGCTCGCACCCACTGACAGCACCAGCCCCGCTTGCACCCACTGCTGGCACCGGTCCCAATCGCTCCGTGCCAGTGGGTGTGAGCAGGGCATGCGCCATCAGCACTTGGGAGTGGTGGCAGTGGGAGCAGGACTGCCAGCAGACAGGGGACTGGGGGCCACAGTGGGAGGGGCCGGGCGGGGGCATGGAGAATGGGCCGGGACCTGCCCCTGCACCCACTGGAGCCTTGAGGCCCACAGTTCCTTTCAAGGTGCACGAATTCGTGCACTGGGCCCCTAGTTTTAATAGAAAACACAACTGTTTGACTTGTAAACACTATAAAGTAATAATCATAAATGTATGAGTTACTAAATTAAACTAGCTCTTGAAATATTTGCAAATTTTTCCAGTATCTATGTACTGCTTACTCATTTTGTCACATACCAGCTCTAGCTGTATTCCACCCCAAACTGAGAAAATTCTGTCCATTAACAATTTCTTTTGTAAATAGACTAGCCTAGTACTTTTCAAACTTTAGTGTGCACACAACCATCTAGGGATCTCATTGAAACGTTGATTCTTACTTATCAGGTCCTGAAATTCTGCACTTTCAGCAAGTATCCAAGTGACAAATGCTGCTAGTCCCCAGATGACACTGAGTAGTAAGAGAAAGGCTCACAACCACACTGGAGGACTCACAGCGACAGCTGGCTCGTGGAGGCAATGAGTACGAATACCCTGAGCAGCTCTGCGGCAGCGGCACCAGCCTCAGGTGAGTCACCTGCACTTATCCTTGATCCCTTCGTCTGTGTGTATGTGGTGTTTAAGGATAACAACAACTCCTTTCTAAGAATTACTGACAAAGAGAAAAGATACTGCCATAAAGCAACTAGCACAGTTCCTGGCATGTAATAACCACTTAACATTGAGAAAATGAATGTTTTCACACTCATAAAGAATATGTATTATTCGATTATCCTTTCATAATTTTAAGTATATAAATTTAAGTTTTATCCCTTAAATGGTACTGTTTCAAAAATCATGAGATTAATAAAATCAATTTACTTATAAAGAACACCTCTTTACCCAATGGCTTTCACTTTTCAGGTTTTAAAAGCATTATTTCTTTCTATTACATTTGAGGAAAAGATATTTTATGGATTTGTCTGAGAAGACAAAGGTGGAGTTATTGAGATTATTGATAGGATACTGAATACCCAGATACTCACAACCTTATAAATAACTAAATAGATAATAAAAATGCAAACTCACATCACTCTGTATCTGGTTATTCACATACCTTGTTTTCTTGACCTGAATGCTGCTACTGAGTTTTTCCAGCACATATTCACCAGTGTCATGATTAATAATAAGCACACAGTCTTTCTGATAAGGCCGTTTGTTCCCCTTGAACACAGTCATTGGTGGTGTGGATCCCTATATGGCACAAAATGCATATGATCAAAACTAAACACAGCAGTTATGAATATAAAAAATAAATTTACAGGTGACTCTACCTCATCAAATCTTTTATCAGAGACTCAAAAAGAACTCCTGGTTTCCCAGGTAAAAATAAAAGGAAATAATATAGCAAGAACCTGTGACTGTACAACTGGTTCTAAGTAATCAAGAAAGGTAATATAAATTTTTAAAATTACTGTATGTACATTGTTCTAGGGATTTGGGAAATGTTACAAATAATAGTAAAGTGTGAAATGAGAGGAAAAAATAACCATTACTTGTATTACACTGAGAAGAGCTACTGAGAGATCTCTAATATTGCCTCATAATTGGAGAGTTCATGGCTTCCCTGTCATGCCAAGTAACCAACAGAGCATCTCAAAGGGCAGCCCATTATTCTGGTTAACTCAGAGGAAGTCCATCAGGCCACTCACCTGCCTGGGCCCTTTGATGACTACCCCATTGCTCTGAGGTCAAGTAATTAAATCTTTAAACCATCTAGCCCTTCAGCCTCCCCAGCACCACTCACCCATGAGCTATGCTGACTCCAGAGCAGAAGGCAGCTGGCATTCCCTGAAATTCTCAGTCTTTTTTATTCTATGACTTTAACAAGGCTTCTGCCTGTAACACCTGCCTCTCCCTCTTTTTCAATTACTCAACCTTCAGATCTACGCAAAGGTATTTCTTAGACAAACCTTCCCTGATTTTCTAAAATAAACATATGTTTTCTTATATTTAAATTCCATGACATAAACTCCACAGGCCAAAATATGTGCTTGTTTTATTCAAGACTGTATTCTCAGTGTCTAGTAATGGACCAGCATACAGTAGGTACTCAATTAATGTTTGCCAAATTCAGAACTTAATCCTTTGTACAGAATAAAAAACTATTTGGCTCCTCACTCATACAGTAGGAAGGGACCTTAGGAACCATTTATCTAACCCCTTCATTTTACATTGGAAAAGTATGCTCAAAAGGGAGATGATGTAACATGCCAAAGGCCACAAGTAATGAAACAGCAGTCTGAACTGGCGCAGGTGGTTTTTCAACAACACAAACTTTCCCAGGTCTCCTTGCCCAGAGTCTTTTCCTTCTGTCACTAGTGAGCAAGAACTAATTTGTTCCAGGGCAGGGCTGCGACATGCAATGACACATGTTCACACAGAGTATTTTGTCTAACCCTTCAGACTTTGTGAACAGAATGCTGCTTTGCGCAAGGCTTCATAAAAACCTCTCTTTCTGCAAGGGTCCTCAACTCGGCCTTTAACTGAGTTCCTCATCACTCAATTAGCTGAATGCTCTGAACCTCTGGTTCTTGCCTGAAATTATCAGCCTACACTTCACCCCAGATATTTTACATGAAAGATGTAAGTCCTGCTCCTGCCCACCTTGACTCCTGCCTTAGCAGCTCCACACTCCTAAACTGTGGTTGCTGTACATTAACATGGAACCTACGGCTTTTCTCTGTGGAGTTGCTTGGGGAAAAGCTACGCATGACTAAAAGAGGGGCTAGATATCCAGGTAGGGTCTTTGTCTACTCTGCAGTAAATGGGAGCCTGGGTAAAATGACAAAAAATCATTTTTAATCAAGCACCTGGGATGGATGCATTCTACTCAAACCCATATCCCAAATTTCTTTTTTCCTTATGCTGACATTTTAAACAGTAGGGAATTCAAATTGTAATAACATAAAATAGGAAAATTCATTTAAAACAACAACAACAACGGCATAAACTTACAGGGATATGTGGCAGTGTAATTGTGACTTCATCTCCTTTGCCAACCTGAAGCTCTCCTTCACAGGAGGTATCTATAGATGCTGGCTTAAAATCATCTACAGGGAAAGGGAGAAAAAAGCACTTATCCATCAGTTTACTTATACTAAGGGTTTTCTAGGCATTCTCATTTAAGCTTTATTCAGATAAATGGGAAATACAAATAATTTAGAATATTAAAAAAACTATTTGAGAAAAACTTCTAATGTACAAAAGCAAAGAGAATAGTGCAGTAAAACTCTGTGTACCATCATTATTCAGCCTCAGTAATTACCAACTCAGGACAATCTTGTTTCATCTATTCCTCTACACACTTTTCCTCCCACCCCAACTGGATTATTTTGAAGAGGAAAAAAAAAAAAGCTAGAATTTATGTACCATTTTATTAAGCAGAGATATTCCCTTCTCCCCAGTGACAGATGAAAATGAACGCTTATCATCATTATAAAGCGCTTTGTTAGGTTCTTGTGAGGATCAAAAGCAACCACATATTAATAAGATGCTGTGATTGTAAAACCCTATGTGAAATAGGGTTTTATAAGCTGCATCATCTAAGCTGATTTCATTTTGCTTAGGAACCGTCAAAATTATGATTTGCCACACTCAAGTTCCATAGCTTTAACAGAGATACTCCTGCAGACGTTCGGAGGAGACGGCTGAACTTGATCTCTAAAGGTTACTCCTGCCCGTACTTCTGAATTGCAGCTGCAGTCATCTCACTCCATGTTAACACACGCCCGCCTCAAACTGCAGGCCAGGTGCATATAAGAAGTGTCTCATTTAAATTTCACACTGCCCTTCACTCTACTAAAGCAACTTAGCAAACTGCTCAAGAGATGCTGGTCTCATCACATCCCCAGTATCCTCCCTCTGAGAGGGCTGCTCTGCTGTCTGTCAGTAGTTAGCATAGTAATGGCCTGCAAGTGACCACACAAAGATAGGCCTTCATTAACTGACACACCCCTTTCCTATGTGTTGAGTCACATCTATTAGCTCCTTAGACAAAAACAAGTCTTAACCAGCATTAGCATCACCCAGACAGGAAACCAGGGGCTTGTGAATCACAGAGGGAGGCTCAGTCAGCCAATTACTTAAAAGCCAAATCTTTACCCAGGACATGGGAAGGAGTGGGCGTGCCCTCCCTCAACAGAGTCTGTAATCTGGCAGAAAAGGATGGTCCAGCATAGTGACTATTTGGACATTTTCTAGGCCTGCTGTCTTGTGCTCCCCAGCATAGGTCAAGTTTTAACTTATTCCAGGCGCACACATTCTAACTTTATTCTGCACCTACAAGGGACTTGATCCTGAGTTAAAGTCAGGAAAGTATAAGTGACCTCAAAAGACATCAATGTCAAGGGAGGTGCGGAGAGCCGGGGGAGGAAGCCACTGACAGGGCGCAGAGAGGATGCGCATTATTTGGCTGCAAGAGGGAATGAAGCGCAGTGTCTCAGGGCAAAGACGGACGAGGGGAGAGCCGGGGAAAAGAGAATGAAACAGGAGGGAGTGGGAGGCTCATGGGCAAACAGAAGAGTCCTTTAAACGCGGAGAACTCGGGTGGGTAATCGAAAGGGGGTGGATTCGAGGAAGAACTGGGGTCTGATGTGGGGCCACAGCCTTTCCGCAGTGAAGAGGGGGTGAGCTGGCATAAAGGAAGGGCTGGCTGGAGCAATGAAAAGAGAAACAGGTCAACGCGCTTCGGAAGAAGCGTTTGGGGCCACGAGACAAGAATGGTTGGGGGTGACGAAGGGTTTGGTTTGGGAAGGGTCAGCTGGTGAGGGACGGGAGGGAGAAGGGAGAAAATCGAGGTCCCGGGGGTTCCGGGGTAAGAGAGGAGGGAGCTGACGTAGGCAGGGGATTCCCCGGACTTTGGAGGCCAAGGTTGGCGAGAGGCGGCCGGAGCGGCCGAAAGGTGCGGTGGGAGCGCCGACTTACAGCGAATGGTGTGGAAGGAGGCTCGCGGTCGCTTTTCGAAGCTCTCCCCGAGCCGCAGGCAGTGTTCCTCGCGGTCCAGCAGCGGGTTCGCGGTCCCGTTCATGGCCCCGCACGGGCCTCGCGCCCGGACCGGCGCTCTGCCGGCGCGGCACAGCACCGCAGCACACCGGGATTCCAACCGGCGCCCACCCGGGGCCGGAAGCAAGTCTCCTCCGCGTCGGGTTGGGGGAAGCCTCTGCGGAAGCAAGGCCACGGGACTTCCGGCGTCGGGGAGGTACTTCCGGGTTCGTGGCGGAAGTGGCGGAGGCGGTGCCATGGCAATAGAATTCCGCCGGGATTCTGAGGTCCTCGACGCCGGTTTGTCCAGGCTCAGGGTTTTTTCGCGGCGGCTCCCAAACTCTGTTTCCGAGGCCTGGGCCTGGCTGAGGGCTGAGTGCGCCCGGCCCTGCCGCTCCAGGTGAAGCTAGAAACTGATGACGGTGAGGCCAGAGCGCCGCGGGCTAGATCCACGCGGGTCTGACAGCCAGTGTGACCGGCTCTCCCCAGGCCCTAGCGGCCGGGTCCGCCTAGTTGCTCTTGAGTCTAAGGAGACTGATGGGTTCTCGGAATCCTATGCCACGACTCACTCGTTCTCTCCCTCCCCTTCGTGCCGTGTTGGCGGTGCGAGGGCCTCAGTCCCTGGTTGTGAGAGATCTTGTGAGTGCGACGAGAGACT